GAAAAAAAAGTGTATAATTTTTAAATGAATGATTGTAATCAAATAACATAATCAGATGATTATCTTTTCACCTGAGAAAATCCATTCTTTTTGTCATATCACAGAGAGAGAAAAGCGATCGGATGGGTTTGTCACAAATTGCGGAAAAATTCTTGTCACATGATTGTATTTATGAAGTCATTATTAATGCTTTCTTTTGTCAGTGCATACACCGTGTGTGGACTGGGAAAATATTTAATATGTTTCAGGACCATTTAAGGATTTGGTGTTCTCTCTTACAACATTAATTTTTTCTTTCTCTTTTTGCTCCTGCTATTTTTCTTCTTGTTTAATTTTGCCTTTTCATTTACTCTAAGGAACCACCTAAAAAATAATAATCCCGGACCACAATAAATTCTGTGGTGGACTGGATGTGTGTTCGAACTGTTTTGGAAGGACGGACTTGACCACGAAAACGTGTCTCATTCAATCGGTTGGGTCCACTCTCAGCCAAATGCGTCGTTATTATAAGAGTTTAATGAGTATAATATTACATAATTTTTTTTTATACACTCACAATAAAAAAAGAGATAAAGTGAAATAATCTTTTTCATAAAAAAAAAACATGTGAATCTCATTTCTTAATTGTGTATGTAGAAAAATTTTCTTACATCACGTAACATTATACTCATAAAATTTTTATTATAATATTTTTATCTGATTTTGTTGGGATTATTATATTCTGCGGCCGTTCCAACATTTTTTATTTATAATGTAGGATATTGTCTTGTTCATTGTTTAGGAATCTTTCTTGTTATCATGTATTTGGAATTTCCTGAGTACTTTTAAGTCAAATGTTAAAAAAAAACAAAGGGAACGTATTAAACAAAAAAAAAATATTTATTATTTTTAAGAACATAAAAGTATTCAATAAAAGATATTAAATATTCTTCTATGATATCATACCACTCTTATTTAAAGTGTGATTTCTTCATATTATTTTATTCAATTTTGAAAAAAAAATTCTCTGTAAAAGTGTGATTCACTCACTATAGATATATCCCCATTCCATCCAACTCTCGAAGTCTTTTTAATGACTTTTTATTTTGGTAAACTTTTTTAATGAATTAAATTTAGATGGAATTTTTTATTGTTTTTAAGTTTTTTTAACAACTGATACGTGCATGCGAGTGGATTTGTACGAAGATCATCACGTGTAAGTGTAGTACGAGTTAGGAATATTTTATAGGAATATGAATTTAATATATCTCATGTAAATCTGAATAAGTAACGAACTTGTCATTATCTGGAGAAAAATATATAAAATCATTTGATAAAAAATAAGATTAAGCTAATAATCAATATTAAGCTAATAGTTAAGAATATTAAGCATTGAGCTGTAAATACCTAATTGGCTCATTTCTTCCTAATTGTCTATAAATACCTCACACTCACACGGCGTCCTCTTCCTCTTCCTCTTCCTCTAAACCCTCAAGCTTATATCCCATTCTCAAAACAATATATTTGTTGTTGCTATAGCATATATAAAGAGCAACCATGTATCCAAAGCTGAAAGGGAAATTCAAGAGAGGCAGTAAGGTGAAGGGGACGGTGGTGTTGATGCGGAAGAATGTGCTTGACTTCAACAGCATAACCATTCATGGGTCGATCTGTGTCCCTCCAGTTGATTAGTGCTACCAAGGCTGAATGTTAGTTCTTTCTCTTACTTCATTCTTAGTTTCTAAAACTTAAATTTGTATGTTAAAACTTTGATCTTTATTTCTCGACTTTTTTTTTTTATTAATTTGCATAAACTGTGTTGTGTCTAAAATTCATTTGCATACGCTTTTTTTTTTTTTTTTTTTAATGTGGTCAAAACTTGCTATCAGATGAGGAGTTTTAGTTCATCAACTGTGTTGTGTCTAAAATTAGTTTGCACGTGTATCTAAACCATTGGATTTAGGTGGACCGAGTCAATATGCAAGTGTTTCTCTAGTCAACTCGTTTTGGCTTGTCTTCCAACCAAGGGAATTCAGACTCTTCCTTAATTAAATTAAACCATTGTCGGACGAGCAGAATAAGCCTCTACATTGATCTCCCGGTCCAACCCAAAATCTACCACTAGGATCATACACTTACAGATCTCATATAAATTACGATTGTGTGATTGAAGATTCACGAGCTCTTAGATCGATAATCATCAATAACCAACTTTTAATAATTTTTATAATTTGGCCGAGTTGATAATTTTTTTTATGAACTAACGTACGACTTTTTATTTTATTTTTGTTTCATTCTTAAAGTCGTACTCTCTCTTGCACTGGCTCACTTGTTGTTCATGTCAAAATAGTAGATAACGAGAGAGGGAAAATATCGGGGAGTTGAATATAAAAATATACAAACTCTAGTTTCAAATGTAAAAAGTTATATGAATAAAATAATGTTGGTCATGAGGAGAAGATTTACAGTACATAAAGAATTTTGATCCAATTGGAGTTGGGTGAACTTTGATTTTAATTGAATAAATATTTTATAACAAGCTCTATATTTTTATTTTTATAAAAGCATGAATTTAAGTGGCGATTACATAGAAAAGGATGGGGGATTCAAGTCAGCTAATTGTTAGGAAGGAAAGAAGAAAGCATTAGAGAAGCATGCATCTCGACGCTCTCGATTCCTTACTAACCAATTGGCCTGCCTATCTTCTCGGTTTATCTTTCTCTTTTACATGTATTAAATATGTTGGGTACAACCGGTATTAATTAAAAAAAAAAAAAGATACAAAAGTTTCATATTATGTGGAATATTTTAACATAAGATAATTCATTTTTAACACTTACCACTAGGCCAATATTAAGTGCTGACTATTGTTAATCTTCGATTAAAAATATTTATTACATACATATTGTTATATAAATTCAATTTTAAGTGGTTTGGCCGGTGATTCATTTATTCAATCAGCTACACTACTGATGAGCTGTCCGAATTTCATAAATTGGTTTAAATTATTTTTAATCCTTGATGTTAATTTTGAAAGAAGGATGTAGATCATCACAAGACTACGTCTACAAATAATATTTTATTTACATGACTAAGTCTCTATATACAACGATGGTTAGTGGTCAGCGGACAGCCCCAAAAGTAAGAAAGTCCATCAAAAAATGACTTAAGAAGTGTCTGTTACCTTCATTTGGATTTGGTAAAAGAAGCAACTCATGTGAACGTTCCCGTATACATTTGTCATTTGTGCATTGCACTCTGAATCCCACGAAATACTCTCCTTCAGAGAGAAATTTTTAGTGCTCCACATTAACTGATATTTTTTTTAAGAGAAAAAGAAAAAGTAATTTTGGTATTTTATATTCCAAAGTACATAATATAAAATCTCCCGTTGTACCAGTACCGCTGGTACTGAAAGTGCTCTCCCACCTTCATACATCTCCGCATGTTGGCTAAAGACTTTGTCTCTCATACGTGAAGTTAGCCTAGCATATTAAGGAGTCTGTATTAGGTGTCTCTTGTATAGGTGTGTAGTCTTGTAGTGTGTGTCTCTATTGTATAGTGTGTTGCTGACGTGGCCATGAGCTATTAGTTAGCTATTAGGTAGTTGAGCAGTCTTGTAGCTATTAATTATTTTAGTTTAATTCAATTTATATTAATTTCAATTATTTTATAATTATTAATTAATTATTTTTAGGAGTGTTAATTAATTTCATTTAATTTAGTTTAAGTTATGTTAATTTTTTTGAACTATTAAGTAATTTAATTTAATTTAATTAAGGAGTGTTAATAAATTAAATATATTTTATGTTTGTTAATTATTTTAATTTAATTCAGTCTATATTAATTTAAATTATTTTATAACTATTCATTAATTATTTTTAGGAGTGTTGATTAATTTCATTTAATTTAGTTTAAGTTATGTAATGTTATTTTTTTTGAACCGTTAAGTAATTTAATTTAATTTAGGAGTGTTAATTAATTAAATGTAATTTATGTTTGTTAATAATTTTAGTTTAATTCAGACTATATTAATTTAAATTATTTTATGACACACACGTAATATGCTATGCTGCATAGCACATTTGCCATGTGTCAGGAAAATTGACGAAACATTTTATGTTGCATAGCACGTTTGATGCCACGTAATCTCGCTACACTGCGCAGTGACTTACGTGGTCATGCACTTTCTACTATGTGTCGACACCTAACTCACCCGTTGTTGTTGGAAATTAGGTGTCGTGGCATTTTAAAAAAAAAATACTGGCATTTAGGTAACTTTTAGCAAAAAGTGTGGCACTTTGGTCGTTGTCCCCCACCCTCCTCAGGTAACACATTACAACCCCAATAGCACTACAATGTCGAGTTTCAACGCCATCCATAACAATCCTTCTCATTTTATTCTCAACACCTCCCATGGCGTACATCAAATCGATCAGTATGTACGCCCCAACACAATTTTCAAATCTCTTACCGATCAACAATTTTCAAATCTCTTACCGATCGATATAGTGTTGGGAGAAGAGTAAAAAACAGAGGAGATATTTTTCTCTAAGGCTGAAGAAGTAGTTACTTTCATATTCAAACAACAATTTTAAATTACAAAACTTGTAACTCCACAAGAAATACATAAAGACACTTAACACCACAATAAACTCACATAACTTTAGAAACTTAAAAAACACAAAACTGAACATTTTAACAACAACAAAAAAACTGATGACTCTTAACCTTTCATTCTCCTAAAAAAAATGTGAAATTAAACCCACTAAAAATAAAACTAACATTTAATGTTTATTCAACAAAACTCCCCCCTAAACTTATATGTTTCTGTCATCCTTCACGCCGATCAATTTCTTACAGTTGTCAAGAAGTACCGTCGGTAGCGGTTTCATGAAGATATCTACGACTTGGTCCCAACTTGCCACGTGTACTAATTCCACACTTCCTTCCTTCACATGATCTCGGATGAAGTGAAAGCAAATGTGGATGTGCTTGCTTCTCTCATGATTCACCGGGTTCTATTCCAACTCAATTGCCAATTTGTTATCAACTCGTATCACAATCGCACTGAGTTGTTGTTGCTCCAACTTGCCCAACAAATTACTAAGCCATATCACATGACATACACACCAAGATGCTGTCACATATTCAGCTTCACATGTCATGAGCGTCACGATCGGTTGCTTCTTTGAAAGCCAAGTAAACGTTGTGTCACCGATAAAGAACACATATCCTGATGTGCTTTTCCGATCGTCTAAGTCTCCACACCAATCGCTGTCAAAGTACCCAACCAACTTGTAATGTTCAACATTTGAATAGAATAACCCGAGTGACACAGTTCCTCGGATATACCGTAGGATTCTATTTAACGTCTTCCAATGTGAATAAATCGACTCCTCCATGAACCGACTTACAATGTCAACACTTAGCGAAAGGTCTAGCCTTGTGCATGTGAGATAGCGAAGGCTTCTCACCAAACTCCGGTATTTTCTCGCGTTGACTCGTTCTCCTCCATCGAACTTTGAGAGTTTTGCACCTGGTTCCATTAGTGTAGATACCGGGTTGCAATCTGCCATCTTGTACTTCTTCAAAATCTCCTTTGTATATATCGTCTCTCCTTTTCTTATCTTCAGACCGAGGAAAAACTTCATCAAACCCAGATCAGTCATCTCAAATTCTCGTGTCGTTGTGCTCTTAAACTCTTGTATCATTTAATCCTTGTTCCCCATAAAAATAAGGTCATCAACATAAAGAGCAACAAATAACAAATTATTTTCACTCTTCTTAACGTAAAGGGCATGTTCTTAGGGACATTGCTCGAACCCGTTCCCCTTGAAGTATGTATCGATGCAAGTAATCCATGTCCGCGGTGCTTGCTTCAACCCGTAAAGCGCCTTCTTTAATTTCAACATCTTCTTTTCTTCTTTGAGCACACCATTCAAGAATGCCGACTTGACATCCATTTGAAATATCAACCATTTGAATTAAGTCTCTTGTGAAATAAGCAATCAGATTGTCTCCATTCTAGCAACGGGAGCAAACACCTCGTCATAGTCGATTCCCTCCTTTTGCTTGTATCCTTTTGCAACAAGTTATGCCTTATACTAGGGGTGTTGACGGTATGGATTAGATCGGTTTTGAAGGAAAAAACCATCTGATCCAATTTCTTCGGTTTGATCATTTAATCATCCGATCAGTTTGAATTTTTTTTCAAATTCGATCCAATCCGATCTAATTTTTTTCGGTTTGGATTGGATCGGTTTTCGGTTTTTTGAAAAGCCAAAAAAACAGCACTTATAAGAATTATTTTTAGAAAAATGAAGAGTAGTATTTGTCATGGATCTTTTGTATTGGTAGTAGCAGAAATTTTGGCAATACAGTAGTAATAAGTCTTCCAAAATCACTAGTAAAAAAAATTATTGATCGATGTTCTAATAAAAAAAGTAATGAATTCTTTTACAGAAATCACTGCTTGACTACTTATAAATTATAATGGCTACAAAAGTGGCCACTATGGACACTGGCCAAAACACAACTTCTGAAAAAAACTTAATCATGTATACTACATTAACGAAAGTAATCCAGAAATTCCATAACATAGTAAACTTAAAACATTAACCTGAATTCTTCTTACCCATACATAGATCATTGGCATGAATACTACATTAAAAAAAAATGGCATACAGTAAAGAGCTGTAGATTGTGAATATGTTCTGGACAAAGGAACAACAATCCAACACTAATCAGAGAGACTAAAACCCATATCCTGCATCACAAAACAAATCAACAATCAAACAATTAGATACTTCACATTAAGTTATCTTTCATTAATCGAAGTACATGCACAAAACAATTAAGTTATCCCACAGTTCTTTTGTAGTCAAATATCTGTCAGTCATTAGCCTACATGTTCCTCCATATATTCAAGTAAGGTTTCTGATTTTTCCTCCCCCCTAATATATACAACTGATTTTTCTATCATATCGCATTGAATAATTAAAAATAAAAAATAAAAACTTACACCATCAATTCTTAATCAGAATCCTCACCAGAATCATCATCAACCTCTGTATTTGGAGAAATATCTAAAATTATAATAAAATATTGTTAGTAACTTAACAATTAAAGAAATAAAAAGATGATATAAAATTAAAAAATTATACAACTAGAATAAAATAAATTACGTATCTCCATCTTTACAAATTCTTCTATAAGCTCTTCTACATCATTGGAAAAAGGAGTGGATCAGAACCATTTCTGTGAACAAATTAATGCTTCAACTTTCTTTGGAGTAAGAGTACTCTTGTAGTTGTTAAAAACTCTACCCCCAGTGTTGAATGCAAATTCTGAAGCAGTTGTAGATACTGGCATAGCCAATACATCTTTAGCTATTAGACCAAGAGAAGGATATTTGTTAGAGTTCACCTTCCACCAATTCAAGATATCAATTTTTTGAGTTCCTTTCTCTAGTGGCTCCACGAGTTACAGATCCACCTCATTTTTATTCAAGCTCTCACTCACAGTTATGTCCTTTTCAAATTCACTAGCAAATGAAGAGTCGTCAAATGCTGTCAAATCAGTGTCTTGTAGCTCATTAAGATCTCTAGTGGATGATTGAGAAAGATTTTTGCCATGAAAATCTTTATAGCTGTGGAACATCTTGTTTAAAGTTTCCTTAACTTTAACACTTAAAAATTCTGATGCATCCCTTTCATAAAGCTTCTCAAAACTCCATTCCACAAATCATAATTTATATCGGGGATCAAGTATCACAGCAATAAAAATCATCAAGTTGATATTTTTAATGTTCCCCTAATATTTGTCATGCTTAGCTTTCATTTTTTCAGCCATGGGCCCAAGTAATAGATCCATGCTCCTACTCTATGTCTTTAAGTTATTCAATATCATGCAAAACTCATGAAAATATTGAGAAGAAGTCACATTTAAAGAACCAGACACTTTTTCAGTGACATCATGAATTTTTTTCAAAAATCTCACAAACACCCGTGCATTATCCCAATCCTCAGTATTTGGAATTCCACCTTGCATCATTGCAAATTCAGCAACATGCTCTCCTAACCTTTTAAATGCCTTTTGAAACTTCAATGCACTTTCAAGCATAATATAAGTGGAGTTCAATCAAGTAGGAACATCTAATTGATCTATGCCGCATTTTTGTACCCTACAATCTTTAATACAAGTCTTGAATCTATCCATACGACTAGGGGAAGCACGCAAATATCTAACAGCATTTCTTATTTTAGTAATTGAAGCATACAACTCTTTCAATCCATCATTGACAAAAGATTTAAAATATGAGCACAACATCTAACATGCAAATATTCACCTTTCAACGGATGTGCATTCCAATAATCCATTCTAGCTTTCAAGTAAGCAATAGCAAGATCATTTGAGCTCGCATTATCAACAGTACTAGTGAAAACTTTTTAAATTCCCCAACCTAGAAGACACTTCTCAATTTTCCTTCCAATAGTCTCACCCTTATGATTCTTGATCAAACAAAAATTCAATATTCTTTTATGCAATTTCCAATCATTATCAATGAAATGAGCAGTAAGACACAAATAATTGAGATCTTGCACAAAACTCCAGCAATCAGTTGTAAGACACACTTTGATTCGGAACACTAAAAATAGATTTCAAAATTTTCTTCTCATTTAAATAGAGATTCCAACAATCTCTAGCAATAGTAATTCTTCCAGGAATATCCAGCTTGGGTTGCATAACACTTATAAAATGTCGGAATCCCTCTCCCTCCACAAATTTAAATGGCAACTCATCAACAATGATCATTCTAGCAAGAGCTTGTCTACAAGCTTCAACATCAAAAGATACACCAACAAAAGCTTTACCAATTCCTTTCCCATCTTCTTTTTTAAATTGTTGGAGACTAAGAATTGATTGACTAGAATCATTTGAATCTCTTGGAAACTTTTTGCATTTAGACAACAAATGATTTTTCAAATTAGTTGTGCCATTTTTATGTGTATCACCTGCATAAGTATCCCCACACCATTTACATTTAGCTCTTGGGTTTAATGTTTTTGGATTAATTTCTTTTTCAAAATGATCCCAAGTCCAAGACCTAGGTTTGATAGATTTTTTCTCTTACCCGAATCATCTTCTTCAGATAAAGCTTCTCCAACTTCTCCTCCCTCTCTTTTTTTTCATTCCTATCCATGTTTGACTTCTCTGGAACTGGAACTGAGTTGGTTTGACTTTGAGGCTCATTAGTTTCAGATGTTGTCCAATTTCTGGACTCAGACTCAGCATTTTCACTAATCACCCTTTCACTATTTTCATTATTTTGTGCCTGCACGTATATGAAATAAAATAATTAATAAACATAGTTAAAATAAAATTCAAAGATAAAATTTATGCTTTATAAGTAATTAAAACTTACTTCAAACATTGTTACTATTAAGTTGTTGCTTACTCAACAAACTAGCTTGCTAATAATGATGTAAATGCTGTCAAATACCTGCATTATAATTGATAAGGAAGTGAAAACATGTCGGAAAAATGCCTCATCACAGTCCAAAGTTTAAAGTTATACTTGATAGTAATCATTATTCAAATACTATTTCTTAAATTAGGAAAGTGAACCAGTAAATGTGTTGTTAATGATTATGTAACTTTTGTCAAAAACCGTTTTGTGCACACTGATCCGCGGAGCAATTCTATAACACCAAAATATCAATGCCAAAAGAAAAATATCATGACCCAATCTACAGTTTTTGAAAGTCCTTAATTTAATTATTATTTATGCATGTATCTATCCTGAGGTCGACTGGGCGTCTCATATAATATGTGCCACGCCAAGCATGAGAAGCATGCTTTATCGCTAATTTCAGATAAAAAAATCATGTTTCAATTGGCAGTGGTCCAGGTCATGTCGTTCTGGAAAATCTAGTGACACACCTCAATTTTTTTCGAAGAGCCGAGCTTCTTCGAAACACATGATTCAATTTTTTTTCTACACACAGTCAGTCACTAGAATTTATAGGACAATAAAATCAGCATCATGGATCAAACACAACATTGAACTTCCATTAAAACCAACTTTAAATGCTAATTCTGGTGGTATTGCTAGTTCACCAAATTGGAAACAGTACATTGTTGTGACAGATAGGAATGCAGGGGAGGCTCTTTGAAAATATTACTTGGGCATCTTATCTAGAAAGTGCAGCATAAAATTGAACAAGCATGCAAATTAATATGTCCTTCGAAAATAATGTTTTTCTTCATTTTTAATTATATTAGATAGTTCAAAGCACATTAAGTTCGCATATTTGACAATAAGAATAAAACTCTCCAACTAAAGTGTAACAGTCTACCGGAGAAAATAACTTAATTCGAAATAGTAGACAAAATAGTACAAAGAACGTCAAAGGTGGAAATAAATAAATAAAAGCAGTAAAGTTTCCCAATATCTGAAATCCATAATCATCTAACAGGGAGAGTAAATTAATAATGAATATAAAATGATCATTCATATTTGAACTGTGAAAATTGAGATTGAGATTGAGAGATGAATAATTACCCACCGACACGACACCGTGTTTCTCTTCTTCTCAATCGGACTCCGACAACTTTGTAATGGAGAAATGGTGCCAAGTTGCCAACAGAATGCTCTTAAAAATGGAGT